TTCCAAACTTTTTTTTTCTCTGGGCCACATTTTCGGTATGAAAATTTGCTCGCGACTCACCAAATTTTATGTGAATTAAAATAAAGGACATATAACATAAAATAAAATTCATATAAAAGGGGTAAGTGTTTCTTTCCCTATGATTAAAAGTTGTTTTTTATTGTATTTCTTTCTTTCTTTTTTAATTATATCTATATATATTTACGTCAAAACCTTTCCTTTTGCCAATAAGTATGCAAACACAGAACATTCATCTTTCATGGTGGATGGGCGTTCTCTAAAGGATTCCATTTATTTTGAACACTTATTCGGACTCAAGCTCACCCCAGCTCTCAAGTAGAATTCATATATCTGATATATTGGCGAAGATTCTAGAAAAATGGTCTGTTCATTATACCGCCCCAGTAAGTATTTGACACTGCTTGCTATACTCTATCGTTAAAAGAACCAGATCAGACCAGAAGTGGAATAATGCTGCCATATTTGGGCTGGAGTTGCTCAGTCCATACTTGCCTGTCTCGCTAGAATCCAAAGGCGTCTACGCGGCTTTCTGGGTGATTAATCATTTTCCACCTCTTTCCTACAGACGAAACTTCGCAAGCCTCACGCTGCGCTATCTCTATTTCCATGACATGTGCTAGATTCATTGGCTCCATCAGCCCTGACCGTGAAAACTTGGACCCGTCATATCACGTACACAAGGATGAATCATTTTCATTCAAATCGTATTCTATCAATAAGAAGAAAATTCCACTCTTCCCAATAACTACTTCTTTCTGGAACAGATTCTTGGCTGTATGTTTTCCTGATCACTACACTCTAGACCACTGGTTTCCAAACTTTTTTTTTCCTCTCGGTCGCATTTTCGGAATGAAAACTTGCTCGCACCTCACCAAATTTTATATGACAAAAATAAAAACTTATTTATAAGTTATAAAAACTTTTATTTAAAAACATTTTATTGATATTTTTAAAAATAAAAACAGAAAATCAGGGAGAGGGTTAAAGCGAGATAACCACGGATTCGAAGTCAGAATATTACCATTGATAACTCTCTCCTCCAATTTGCAGATCCTAGATACTATATTCTTAATACTTGATATAATGCAAAAATATGGCAATGATAAAATCGGTCAATAATTATTTATAACTATTTATACTGGGATTCATGCATGCAATTACATGTAATCGATAATTATATTTTAAATTTTTAAATCAAATTTTATTTTAGCATATGAATTGTTTCTAAATATTTGATTGCCTTTCAATCATTCCGCCTCACCTGCTATCCTCTTCTGCCTCACCTGCTATCATAATAGTGCGTTTGAAATAATATATAACACGTATAACTTACATGATTAAAATACACAAACTTAATGAAAGGTATGATTTTGTTTTTAACGAGTAATCTCCTTTATGTTAGGCCTAATTTGAGATAAACAAACCCTCATCTCCTCATCAATACAAAGAAGCCTTTCCTCTTTTTTGGTTTTTGATATTTGTTAAAATTAGAAATCCAGAACGGCAAAGAAGGGGCAGATGAAGAGATAAAGGGAGATAACCGCGGATTCGAAGTCAGAACATTATTATTGATAACTCTCTCCTCCAATTTGCGAACCCTTGTTACTATATTCTTAATATTTGATATATACAAAGATATCACAATGATAAAATTGGTCAATAATTATTTATAACTATAACTGGGACTCATGCATGCAATTACAAGTAATCCATAAAAATATTCTAAATTTTGAAATCATTTTTATTTTTGGCATATGAATTTTTTGTCTTTCAATCATTTCGCCTCACCTGCTATCCTCTTCCGCGGAACCTATGAGGGGCGACGCACCGTTTGGGAACCACCGCTAGACTATCTCAAGACTCAGGTTAAGACTCAAGGTTTGTCCGACACCGAGTAGTAAGAGACGCGGGAAATAGACTGTCTTACAGAAGGACTTGATTCCTTGTCTCGATTGAAAATTAACATTCTAAATCCTACTTGATCTCAAAGTTCGGCTACTGAAAAGAAAATATTTAAAATTTTACTAAGGCCTAAAAAGGACAGGAAATTGTGGAGAGTCATAATTCAACGTCCTGAAGGGATGCGACATACAGAAAAAAAAGAATATATAAAAAAAAAAGAAATCCATATTTTGAATTTCAAAAGAAATATTTTTTTTTCAATTTTTTTTTTCCTGAATAACCTCATGAACTTCACTTATTGCCTTTTCTTACATTAAAAAAGCACTGTGTAGTAATACTCTACTTTGACTGGCTCTTGGGCCTTGTATTGGGTGAGCATAAAAGATACCAACAGTGTTAGCACCAACTGAATATAAAACTTGGCATGACAGACTACACCAATATCTGCACTGGAAATTATGCCACTTTTACGGGAAGGAAACTATATGAAACTGTTATTACATCACCCCGATCCGGTTACAAAGGTAGGACCTGTTACAATTCTATGGGACTTTACAATACACACAGGCAGAACAATCAAAGCTAAGATTTTCAAAACTATCAAAATACAAGGACAGTGAAATGGAAATCTCAAAATGTGGTACATGGGGACATCAGTGTTGTAGTTGGAGCCCTCGGATTGATTGAAAAAGTTTCTCATAGACTCACTAAAGGGATTCCTGATAGTCTGTGCTTTAAAGAAATACAAAGAATTGTACTCACAAGAAGAGCTTTATCTATGTAAAATGTGCGTGATCTTAGGGTTTCTTTGTTTGTTTGTTTTTTAAAAATGACCAATTGAAAATGTCATGAAGCTATTTTTGACCTTAGGTCTCTGGTTAAGACCCGGAAGGAAATGTGTATACAAATGAATTCCAAGGAAATAATAATAACAACAACAATAATAATAATAATATACTAAAATATTGTGTTAGCCCAAAATGCAGATTCTGTGAAAAACATCCAGAAACAATTGATCATCTTGTATCAGGTTGCACGATATTGGCACCCACTAAGTATAAAACCCGGCATGACAGAGTGGGCCAATATCTGCACTGGAAAATATGCAACTTCTACGGGAAGGAAACTGAGAGAAAATGATATGAACACCACCCAGACCCGGTTACCGAGATAGGACCTGTTACAATTCTATGGGACTACACAATACACACTGACAGAACAATCAAAGCCAACCGCCCAGACATTGTTATTAAAGACCACACACAAAAAAGTGCCTCCTTATTGATATGGCAGTCCCTGCAGACTGCAATGTATCTTTGAATATATTCAAAAAGCTGTCAAAATACAAGGATGTTGAAATATAAATCTCAAAAATGGGGCATATGGGAACATCAACAATCCCTGTTGTAGTTGGAGGCCTAGGATTGGTTGGAAAAGACTCCAGAAGACTAATTGAAGGGATTCCTGGAAGTCCATGCCTCAAACAGATACAAAAAAAATTTCTGACAAGTACAGCCCACACTTTACGAAGGGCTTTATCTATGTAATTTTTTTTTTTTTTTTTTTGTCAGTAGAAAGTGTCATGATGCCATTTCTAATCTTAGGTTCCTGGGCGGGACCCGGAAAGAAATGTGTAAACGCCAGAAATCAAAGGAAATAAAAATAATAAAAGGAAGAAGACAAGCTAGTCAATAAGTGCTACTAAATCTTTTACAATTCACAGAAATCTCGCCATATGTTGTTTTTATTCTAAATACTAAAAAAATAAACGAAATATTCTGCTTATCCATATTTTTCAATAATTCAGCCATGTTTCTTTTACTATGACATTAACAAAGCAAAACTATAGCTCATCAAAACTGTCCATTTTTGTGTTTCCCTACGTTCTTCAAAAGCAAATCAAACATCTGGATTTTGTGCGGAAGGAGAAATTAATTTACGATTATACAATGTAGAAAATATATATATGATACAAAAACAACACGTTTGTCGCTTAAAAAGAAAACAGAGAAACGTATGGCGCCAGGCTGTTGCGACCGTTTTATAATAAACACTTCTGCTTTGACAGAACCATTGTTTATTGGCGGGAAAATGCGAAGCGAATGGCGGGCGGGATGGACGGTGTAGCGACAGGAAATAAATATAGATATTTACAAAGCTTAGTCCGACACCGGGTAGAAAGATACGCGGGAAATAGACTGTCTTTACAAAAAGACTTGATTCCTTGTCTCGATTGAAAATTAACATTCTAAATCCTACTCGTACTTGATCTCAAAGTTCGGCTACTGAAAAGAAAATATTTACAAATTTTACTAAGGCCTAAAAAGGACAGGAAATTGTGGAGAGTCATAATTCCCTGAAGGGACACGGCATACAGAAAAAGAAGAATATATGAAAAAAAGAAATCCATATTTTGAATTTCAAAAGAAATATTTTTTGTTTTTATTTTTGTTTTTTCAATTTTTTTTTTTTTTTTTGCATTTTAAGAAATTAGGTGGAATGAGCATATTTGTTTTGACCTCTGTAAAGGGATCAATTTACAATGAATTTGCATAGCAAACTGGTCCCCTATTAACTTTTTTAAAATTTAATAATTTTGCTAAAATATATATAGATAGATAGATAGATAGATAGATAGATAGATAGATAGATAGTGTGGAATGTTTATAGTGAAATAAAAACATATTTATATTTCTGGTCGCAGTGCCTTTTGTAAAACTCCTCGCCATTTAATATTCCTTCAGGAATTTCGAGATATGGTTTTATTTAAGATCGACATTCGGGATACTATTTCTAGCGTGACTTGAAGCCCAAAAAGTGCCAATGAAAAATATTGTATAGTAATCCTTTTTTTTTTAATGTAAAGCATATTTGAAAGATTCCAGTAAGGTTTATTTCTATGAAGAATAATTTTGAGCGACAGTAATCTCTTGTCCTGTTTATAAAAACTCTAGTCTTTCAATTTTTCTCTTAATCATGTTAATTCATTCTTATTGTTTCGCCAGAATGTCACTTCGACTCACACTAGACGCCTCATGGTTTTACTTTATATCAGATGAAGCTAAGCTTCGAAAATACTAATAAACCTGAACAGATAGATAGATAGATAGATAGATAGATAGATAGATAGATAGATAGATAGATAGATAATCAGGCGAATGAGATAGATAGATAGATAGATAGATAGATAGATAGATAGATAGATAGATAGATAGATAGATAATGACGAGAACGATATGGATAGATAGATAATGAGTGGGACTAGGTAAATCGATATTAACAGAAACATAACTGAAAAGAAAGGAAAAATTAAAATTCTAAGCTCGTATAATAGTGGATAAAAATCGAAGAAATAATGGTTGATAAAATCTTCCTGTATGTTCCGTGTTCTTTCATGAAGTGGGTGATAATGGCTCACCACAACATCCTGTTCTTTTTAGGTTTTAGTAATTTTTGTCTTTTTGCTATCTCTCCTAATGCCTGTTATGCCAACCATCAACACAATCTCGTTGAGCAGGTTATACGCCGTTTTCCTCTCTCCTTCTTGCCTTCATGCGAGTGTCAAATTTTCTAAACCCTATTTCCTCATTATGCGCCCAAGAAATTTCAATTATTTATTTCGAGTGTTAAGTAAAAGTGTTCTTTTTGTTTCAATCTTCTCTAAAACTTCGTTGTTGCTCATATGGTATTCTCAGCATCCTTCTGTAGTACCACTTTTCTGTTGCCTTAAGTCAATTCTTAACCCTTTGAACCCTGCTTTCCTGAACAATTTTAACACTTCTGCCTGAGCACCTGAGTCAAATTCGCAAATTATTGGTATATAATATCTCACGGTAGATATAAAAATAGTTCTAAGTGTTTACCCACCGTTCAGCCGGTGGCTGGCATTAAGTCATTTATCTCTACCACTGTTCAACCGGTGGCTGAGCATTACGTAATTTATTTCTACCACTATTCAACCGACTGCTGGGCATTACGTCATTTTTCTCTACCACTATTCAACCGGTGGCTGGGCATTACGTCATTTTTCTCTACCACTATTCAACCGGTGGCTCGGCATTAAGTCATTTTTCTCTACCACTATTCAACCGGTGGCTGGGCATTACGTCACTTTTCTCTATCACTATTCAACCGGTGGCTAGGCATTACATCATTTTTCTCTACCACTATTCAACCGGTAGCTGGACATTACGTCATTTTTCTCTACCACCGGTAAAGCGGTGGTCAAGGCTCAAGGAGTTAATCTGTGATGAAATTTGTCCTCATTCCACGGCGTATAGAAGGACTGATATTACGTGACAGTCCCGTACACATTTCTTTATTTCTAACGAAATTTTCCTGTTTCATAATACTTGGCTTAGATTCTGGAAAGTCTATTTTGTTATCCCAATGCGCCTTCGGATTTCGGTGCCATATTTTCCGTCCTCTGTTAAAATACTTCCTAGATATTTAAATTTTTGTACTTGCTTGATTTTTGGAATCACCAATTTGTAATTTGCATGTTGGGCTGCTTCTTTTGTTGACAACTATAAATTCTCTCTTCTTACAATTGATGCTTAGTCCTTTCTTCTCGCTTTCCTTGGCTACCTTCTGTCGGCATTTCTTTAGTTTGTCTGCTATCAACACCATGCCATCTAATGCTGTTATGATTGTGACCGCCAATAATGAAGTCAAGTAGGACTTCTGATTCTCAGGATTGCTTCAATGTAAAGGTTGAATATATCTCGGGAGAAGACACATCCTTGTCTTACGACCCTTTATATTTTTGTGTATTTACTGAATTCATTTTCTATCCGTATGCAGACGGTTGTGCTGTCAGTTCTGGATAATACTAATATCTTTCCTAAAATGGCATCTATGCGGACGACATTAGTATTTACTCCTGCCTCAAAAACAAATCTAGTGTCGCTGACAAAACTAACCTGGCCGTTTGTCTCGAAAAGGACCTCCAATCGGTTGTGGTCTGGGGAAGGAATTGGCTGGTTAACTTTAATGCCTCAAAAACAAAACAGAGAAAACCATCCCTGCCTCCCATTAGAATGTCTGACGCTCAACTCCACGAGAGCACCTCTTTCCGACTACCCGGTCTCACATTGTCTGCTGACCTGAGGTAGAAGAAATACATTGAGTCAATAGCTTCGTCCACCGCAAGGAAAGTCGGCTACCTGTGCCGCGTCAGGAAATTTTTCTTGCCAGAGTCAATCTTTCAAATCTACAAATCAACCATTCGCCCTTGCATGGAGTATTGCTGCCATATATGATTTGGAGCCCCTTCTGTTTGTCTCAAGGTCCTTGATAAAATCCAAAGACGGATATGCAATGTAATTGGCCCTGATCTGGTATCTCGTCTGCAGTCGCTCTCTCACAGACGTGCCGTTGACTCCCTCTGTCTTTTTTACAATTATTTTCATGGTAACTGCTCCAATGAGCTGCTTTCGCTGGTTCCCAGACTTCATGAATTTAAGCGGTCAACTAGGCTGGCATCTCGTTCTCACCCTTTCACTGTCGAAACTGTTAAATGTAGCCGTCTCTTCTACTCCAATAGCTTCATGTCTCGCACTTCTCACCTGTGGAACTCCCTACCCATTTCTTGTTTTCCTGATAGCTATAATCTCCAGCTATTCAAATGTAATGTCAATCGACATCTTCAGATGCCTTGATCTATCCCCTATCCTTCTCTTCATCCTTTCCTCTATCACTCCTCTTTGCTCTCGCTCCAACTCTCTGTAACCTCTTTCGTGCTAGTGGCTTCCCACCTTGCTTGGTGTGGAATGCTTAAAAAAAAATAAATAAATCAAGCTTACCTAGCAGTTCAAACATTTCTTTGTGACGTATTTTTACATAATCTATAAAATAGGTATATATCCTTTTGCATTTGTATTGCTCTTTGAGATATCAGGTGGAAGAAATAAGTAGATATATAACGAAGATGCAGTTTTTCTTTCTTTTTATAATATTTGCCTATAAAAAATGGCCTACGAAAAGTTGTTCGCTTTTCAGTTGATGAAACGAATATATGACGCGTTCGGCGGAGGAAGGGCATATTCGATAAAAAATCGAAAATTGCTTTTTTTCACTATCATTATTCATTATATAATATCCAAGTATTTTACAAAAAATTAGAGACGATTACACAATATTTCAAACACAATTTGGGTTTATAGTTTGTAATTATGCATTGCGATGAGGTAACATAAACCGTCGATTTGTCTGCGAAATATTATTACATTATTGTTAATCATAGTGAAATCATTAATGTTTTTTTGTCAAAAGCATTTTATTTTTGGTCGTATATTAATTTAAAATATTCCTTTTTACAGATTTTTTTTAAATGGAATAAGATCATTCTAAATTTCAGAATTTCCCTATTGCCCATCAAAATAATTGGAAGAAAGCAATTTAAAAACAACAATGAAAAAGAGAGGTAACAAAGCGTAAACGAAATAACTCCAGTTTGTTCAACTTAACCAATGTATTCTAAAATGCTGTTAATAACAAAGGAGAAAATGAAGGATTTAACTGAATTGATGCCAAGAAATGCAGCAAGTTGTTATAGAAATTTGATTGAAAAACTAGAAATAAAACAAAGCAATGAAAATAACGACACCAGTTTTGATGAACATGATACATAACAACAAATCGAATATAACATCAAGATTTATATTATTTTTATTTCTTTATGTAACTAAATACATAATTGTCAGCAATGTTTACGAAAAACATGATATTTTCTGTAATAAATTCTTAATAAATATTATCATTGTTATTTTACTTAAGTGTCGGTTAATGCTACATTTAAGCGCGTATTGCCGCAAAATCAGCAAATGTTGAATACGCCTCTCCTCCGGGGAACGTGTCATATACTCTTAACAGATATAAGATATTGCCCACTCAAACGGAATATGACGGGAAGTCGATTGTAAAGTAAAAAGTAGATATCTCCTATTGAAGACCCACGTTGGTCCAGGGTTCAAAACTTGTCCAGTCCTGTTAGCTCTTTCTCATTTGGAGATGACTCAGATGCGAAAGTTCTCTTCCAATTCCACTCATCTGGAGTACCCCCTGCCAGACGACCCCACCCCCGCCCTTAGAACGAAGGCTCTACTGAATGATATGCACGTAACCCTGTCACTGGCTTCAGACATTATTTCTAAATTAGATCCTAACTGTTGAAATAGCTCAAAGCAACCGCCAATTCTACCACCAACAGTTTATTTCCTCACACTTCCCGCCTGTGGAACTCCATTCCGTTTTCTTGCTTCCCTGATAACTACAATCTTCAAAAATTTAAATGCAACGTTAATCGCCATCTTCTATCTTCTTGAACCCTGTTCATTTTTTCCCTTTCCTCACTCCTCCCTCTTGTCAGTCTTCTCTTTCACTCAGTGTTCTAGTGGCTATAAAGCCTTGCTTGGGGGTGAGATGATTAAAAAAAACGAAATTAAAACACCATAAGGATGAACATCGTTAGATTCTTCTCTTACCACGGCATCATTTTCTATTCAAAGCCAACAGTAATAAACATTCCTTCATATGATATATGCAGATGTTATGAATTTTTCAGTAGTCTATGGATGTTCCTTGCCTGCATCCCGGGTTCGAAACTCACCATGGCCTATTTGTCCGAAAAATTAGTTCTTCATATTATGGGCCTGGGAAAGCGATCCCAACGTGTGCCATCTTTGGAAATATCTGAAAAATCTCATGGGTAGAGCCTTGTGTGTGAAATTGGATTGATCGAACTATTCGGAGGCTGTCGATGGTTGTACTAACACGACGTAACAAGTCATCGTGACTGAGCGTTTCACCTTACTAGCCTTGTTCAAAGTGTGGATCATGCCAGATGATGCGGTCTCACCCAGAAAATATGATTATGGTCTGTTCTGCAGTATAGATCACAGGAGTGGCTTGTTATGTGGGTGTTGAACAAAACACAAATGTATACACCAGGGATAGACTATCCGCCTAACAGACGGGTGTGTCTCGAAAACGAGTAGCCAGCTATTATATATATATATATATATATATATATATATATATATATATATATATATATAATTTAATTTTATATAGACAAAACAGTTTACTCACTACAAAGATGCACCTCGACTGGTTCTCACCAGTCGAGGTGCAATTGAAATGCACCGGAAACGAAGTTGCATCTTTGTACTGTTTTCATTGAGATCTTGTGGATGAGCAAGCTGTCTGCAACATGGGTCCCAAGAATGCTGACACCAGAGCAGAAGCTGAAAGTGTTGACGCGAAAAAATATCTAATCTTCGTCTTTCATT